CTAGACCCGGGACCGATTTACTTTTTCATTTTGATGTCCCCAGAGACCAAAAACACCATTCGTTCAAATTTGTATATATGTATATATATATACGTCCGTGAACGCGATAACTTGAGTAACTTTTGTCCGATTTTGATGAAATTTGGTTTAAAGGTGTAAAGCGGGATAAACTTGAATGAGTTTGCGAACCAGCACGATCGGACCATGGGAACGGGGCTTTACGGGGGGTTTTATGGGATAAAATATGGTTTTCTCACTTTTGACCCTCAAAACACAAAATTTCCCGTTTTCTCTTTAGACCTTTTTAAAGAGCTTAAAAAAACAAACATTTTAGTATATAAAAGAATTTTTGTTCAATTATTAGTAACGGAGAAAATTTAAAAAATTGTAAATTTAAAATTCCCATGTTATTCTTATGGAGAATATTGTCAAATGTTGTAGTTTGCTTGTTTATGGATATATTTTGATCAAACTTGGCAAAGCTATTTATTTTGTACTAAGCTATCAATATTTTACTCAAAAACACACTTTATTAGTTTCCTTGTAGCAGCAAACCTAGGTACTCGTTAAACCTAATGTTATTAAAATATATTTAACTGAAAATCAATTCAGACAAATGGAAATTCGCTTAGTCGGCAGGTTTGCTGCGGCGGGGGTATTTAATAGTCACAATAATTCTGATAATTATATGTTTATGTTTATTTATCCTTACTTGATCCTGCTATTTGAAAGTAGTGTGAGAATCAGCCACTATAAACTAAGGATTGTTGTTGCACGGTTAATAGTTCTTAACAATATCGACTGTTCTTGAAGATCAAGTACAATAGTTAAACATTTTGTCTTAAAAGTGGTTTCATTTTGTACCAATGGGTGCCCAATAGTCCCGTAATACAGGTCCCAAATTTATTTGATATAATCCAAACTTCCATTAATTTATAGAAATCAGATATGGTTTATTGTACACTTATATTGTTTTGGAACTACTCCTAAAATGAAGTCATAATGTTGATAAAGTCATAATTGTCATAATGTCATAAAATGAACTACTCCGTAATAATGTTATGTTACTAACAATTTATCAGTTTCAAACTTTAATTTGTCGTATTATGCATAAAAATTAATTATTGCTTAAAACACTTCAATATCTATTTTGAAGTTTTGCTAAAAGACATTTCATTTATTCATTTATTCATATCAACGGATACACCATTTACAAAATATGTGTTTTAAGCACATGAGCAGAATGAAAAGATAACAACAAAAAAATACAAGATTTCACTGTTATTGAAAGACTGTTTGGTGTTCAGTATTTCTTCTTAAAGTCATGGGTTTGGATTGTTTTAAAATGTAAAAAAAGTTTGGTTTGATGTTTTTGTTTGTAATAAACACAATATAATTTCTTCTGTAAAAATAAATCTTACTTTTGTAATTACAGATTGTAGTTATTACTGACATCGTTTGTGATATCACGTACAAGTGAATCACGTTCGCATTCGCGTACAGTGACGATTACACATTATTTCTATAGTTATAATACTCTATTTGATCTATACTATTATATAAAAATCTAATAATGTCTGTCTGTATGTGTGTTACTAATAGGTGCAAAAACTACTGCACCAACTGGGCTTATATTTTACAAAAATATAGTTACCATACCAAGGACCATTATAGAACCATTCACATTTCGATACTGATCGTAGGCTTTGCCCCTTTGGCTTTAAAAGTTCTGAGGTGAACATTTTAAAAGTAAATATTGATTGGTCTCCATGGGTGCGATGAGAACACTAACAATGTTTGTTTATATTTGTTTTGACATTTAAATTTAAACAAGAAGAACTGCTAAACTGCATATTTCACAATTTCAGACAACTGATACAAAGAAATTAAATATAATATTTTCCATAACTATGAGGTAGGTTTATTTTAATCTAACCTTTTATCATGGATTATTTATTCTAAAACTATGTCAGTGATTATAGAAAAAAAGATTCTATAACAGTTGTTGTATTAACTCCGGCTCTGCTTTGGATTTTTTAAAGCGTCTAAGTTATGAAAATAATGTTATTGTATGTTTTCATGGAAACAGTATGAAAATTGCAATGTATAGATGTTTTGTATGGATTTGGAGGCTACGTTACAAATTAACCCATGTATTTCCAAATCGAAAAAGCATGGGGCTCAAACCCGGAACGAGTTTACATTGCCGTGAAATCACTTGGGCGGTTCGTAGTGGCGTAGCCTAGTGGCGTAGCGACCGTGGCGTCTGGCGTAGCGCGGTAGTCCAGCTACCCAAACAAATCTTGTAATTGAATGTTAATGGAATTGGTTTAATCTGCATTAAATCACTTGTCCGCGGCTATTAGGGCTGACAAATTAATTGTTCAGGACGTGAGGCGACTGGGGATGGCGAGATCTACACCTCGCTACGTACCACCTTGGAGAAGCGTAATTGCTTATTTTACTACGAGATTACGCTTTCACTTACGGGTGTTAACGAAGATTTCTTGGAAGTCGGGGAAGACGTGATGGAAGCCTGTTTTGAAGCGTTGTTTTAAGAATTTGAATGTGTCATTAGGAAAGGGAATTAGGTGACCGAATAGCCATAATATCGATTGCAAATTCAAAGATTGCCGTGATACGGATGTTCATAAGTTTTTATTACATTACAAGTCTTGTTATACCTGTTTTGCGTGCATCATGTTAAATACCAACCAAAGATGTTATACAGAAATTTAACATCGCATAAAAAAGACCTGGTTTCTGTATGCCTGAATGTTGGTTACGGAACTAGCAGTGTTGAAATTTGACACACTGTATCTTGAACCCAGATATCATAAAATAAAATAAAAATCTACGTCAACATAAACATCATCATCAAATGTTAAACTTCCCTCGGAATATGCTCCGATGATATTTTTGTTGGCCAATTTGAGATATAGCTTTCGCAAATATATATTGTTGGATTGGTTTCCAAATTCAATAAGGAAACCCGTAACATTAACAATTCATATATACAGGGTGATTGATATAAGTGTGCCAGCCGTTTTATTTGAAAACTATAAGAGATATCAAAAAAAGTAAAATGGTAAGTGCCTTGGATTTTTTATTTAAAAAATTGTCGGATATTAGTTGCAGCGCATGCTGAAAGCGGTCACGTATCACTAAAACTGCCATATCTCAGTTAATACTCGTTTAATCTTAAAAAATAAGGTGTCAATCGATTTGTATTAAAATTTCCTTAAGAAAGTTATTCTTGTAATTTTTTTGTAAAATAAACGGTTTTCGAGGTATTTAAAAAAACAAAATTTTGAATGGCCGCCATTTTGTTTTGTGAATCGGAAATATCGTCATACTTTTTTGGTAGCTTTGTCTAGTTGTCATAAATGTTTTTGCAAAGTTTCAATTTCGCATGTTTAACCATTCATTATAATAACTGAAAAAAACAAAATGATGGCTGTGTAAGTAACTAAGGACTTCCAGGCAATTTAAATATGGTATTTAGGTATGTTTCTTACCCAGGAGCAATGCCCTAAAATGTTGGTAGAGAGTTCCGGGACACCCTGTATACTTTTTTTGTTTACATTCTATACCTACCAACGATCACATACCTACAATTGTTATTTAGATTCCATGCCATACACCTATCTATCTATATACTTAATAACATAAGGGTTTTCTCTGTAACATTCCCTTTT